TTATTAATGAAGAAAAAAAAAAAAAAAAAAAAATCAACGAATGATCATCCACCTACACTACGCGTAACGTACAGGACCGACGATCCTCAAAAAAAAAAAAAAAAAAATCAACGAATGATCATCCACCTACACTACGCGTAACGTACAGGACCGACGATCCTCGACAAATTCAAGAAAGGAAAGGGGGGGGGGGGAAAGAAAAGCAAGTTAAGCGCCTTGAGCTCCTGTCACCACCTCGTCGCCCGATCGTCAGGCCGATTCGCTCGTCGGAAGCGCAGCATCGGTGCTCGTCCCATTCGACGCGTCCTCCTCGGTGCTCTCCTCCGTCGCGTTGACGTAACCCTCGTCCCACGACGTGGACGCCAGCCCTTGTCGCTGGTCCAGCTGCTCGGCACCGGTGCTGCTGTCGTTGCTGATATGTCAGTGTTGCGGGTGGGCCAGCTCTGGCAGGCCAGTGGTAACAGTCGCGTGATCAGTGGTGGTCGGGGACGCCGGCAGACGCAGCTCGAGGCTTGATATGATCGCGGTGGTGTTGGGTACGGCCGCCGGCGTCGTGGGGGCCAGCTCGGCCGGGAGCTAGACCGGTCCGCGGGGGTGGGGCCAGAGCTGCGAGGCCCCGGACAGGGCGCGCAGGCCCATCGTCAACAGGGACATCAGGAGGAGGCAGGCCCCTCGCGAGTCCAGTCGGACGGGGGACGAGCCACTGCAGGTCTCCTTGGACGATTGCTCGAGCTTTGCTGGAATCAATCGAGAGAGGGTTATTACTCGTTTGGGCGCCTTTGCAATTTCTCTTGTTTTGGTCGTATTATTATTGATGAATCAGCTATTTCGACGGTTTTTTTTTTTAAATAACTCCAAGTAGGGACTTTTTGAGTCAAAAAACGATGCATTGATCGAAAGTTACGTAACGTGCAGTTGGCAAAATTAAATCACCTTTAAATTTTCATGTTTTGGGTCTTGTTGATTTGTTTCTAATTAGATTTTTGGATAACCATTATTTTTCTGATTCATCACGTGGCACGATATATATAAAAAAAAAAAAAAAAAAAAAAAAAAAAAAAAAAAAAAAAAAAAAAAAAAAAAAA